ACTCCTGTTCTTCAATACAAGTCACCCTTTGAATTGTTGTATCATAATAAACCTGATTATAGTTTTCTTAAGGTATTTGGATGCACTTGTTTTCCTTTGCTTAGACCTTACAACAAAAACAAACTTAATTTTAGATCCCATAAATGTGTATTTTTAGGCTATGCTATAACCACAAAGGCTACAAATTCCTCTCCCCTACAGGAAAAATTTACATTTCCCGAGATGTTATATTTGATGAAAATGATTTCTCTTATGTTACTCTTTTTCCTACTGTTTCCATGTCAACTCATGCACCCACTTCTATTACAATTCCTCGAATACCTCTAGTTTCTCAAGAAACTGTTACTACTCATCCAACCAACTCCACTTCTACATCTACAGATTCTACTAATACATCTTCTAGTCCTCCAATTTCAGGTTCAGCTCAGACATCCACTTCACAACTTTCTGCTGATGCACCACTACCACCACATCAGAATTCCACTCCTCCTTCTGATCCTCCACTAATTCATCATATGCAAACCAGAAGCAAGTCTGGCATCTATAAACCCAAAACTTACCATACTTTTGTTCACCAGCATCTCTCTAATCTTCATGACACTGAACCTGCAAACATATCTCAAGCTATCAATTGTCCTCACTGGAAGCAGGCCATGACAGAGGAATTTCGAGCTCTTATCAACAATAATACTTGGACTTTGGTACCTCCTCCACCTGGAATTCAACCAATTGGTTGCAAATGGATCTTCAGAATTAAAAGGAAACCTGATGGCAGCATCCTAAGATACAAGGCCAGACTTGTGGCCAAAGGTTTCCAACAAAAGGAAGGCTTCGATTTTGGTGAAGTTTTTAGCCCTGTTGTAAAACCTACAACCATTCGTTTGATTCTGTCTATAGCCCTTACTCGAGGATGGATCATCAGACAATTTGACTTCAATAATGCTTTCCTGTGTGGAGTTCTAGATGAGACTGTTTATATGTCCCAGCCTGATGGTTTTCACGCCACAAATTCTCCATATGTTTGCAAACTCAACAAGGCTATCTATGGTCTAAAACAAGCTCCTCGAGCTTGGTTTCATACCCTCACTCTGACTTTGCAGAAATTTGGCTTCACAAACACCAAATCTGATGCCTCTTTATTCACCAGATTCACATCTACTTCAATCACCTACATTTTAGTATATGTTGATGATATTCTCATCACTGGCAACAACTCCACTGAAATAGCCTCTCTTATATCCAACCTCAACAGCATTTTCTCTTTAAAAGATCTTGGTTCCCTTCACTATTTCCTTGGATTAGAAGCTGTTCACACCTCACCTACTACTCTCCATTTAACTCAAACCAAATACATCTCTGATCTCCTCACCAAAGCTCACATGACTTCCGCTAAACCTATGCCAACTCCTACGATATCAAATCAGAAAATGTCTGCAACAGGTGACACTGCTTTCTCTGATCCCACTTTATACAGATCCATTGTTGGAGGACTTCAATATGCAACCATAACAAGACCAGATCTTTCCTTTGCTGTCAACAAAGTTAGTCAATTTATGCACAATCCTCTTGAAGTTCATTGGAAGGCAGTCAAACGAATCTTAAGATATCTTGTTGGCACTCTTACTCATGGCCTTGTTTTTCACAAGTCCAAGGATTTTCGGTTAATAGCTTTTTGTGATTCAGACTGGGGGTCTGACATTGATGATCGCAAGTCAACTAGTGGTTTTTGTGTGTTTCTTGGATCCAATCTCATTTCCTGGTCAAGCAAGAAACAACATGCAGTCTCCAGGTCCAGCACAGAGGCAGAATTTCGTAGTTTAGCTTCATCTTTGGCTGAAATTGCTTGGCTTCAGTCACTTCTTCTGGAATTACACATACCCTGCAACACTTTACCTACTGTATTCTATGACAACTCTAGTGTTGTGATGTTGTCAGCAAATCCAATCCTTCATAATCGAACCAAGCATTTTGAATTGGATCTGTATTTTGTCTGAGATCGTGTTCTTCAAAAACAGGTTTTTGTTCAGCATATTCCAGGTTCCGAACAAATAGCTGACATCCTTACAAAACCGATTCCTGCTGCTGCTTATTCTAAATTTCGGTACAAACTCAAGGTTATTCCACTGCCCATGAGTTTGAGGGGGGATGATAAAGGATAAGCTATATTAAGTTAGTTATGACAGTTATTAGTTAGATTCTTCTTTTATCCTTTCTAGTCTTTCTCATCTGCTATATATATAGCAGCTTGTAATCCTCTTCTTCATGGTTCAATACATTCAGAATTATTCAGTTTATCTTTCTTTTCATTTCTTGTTTTCACTCCAAGAGTGAGATTTCATTTATGTCATTAAGGTCTGATACCTTACACTTACATTTTGTCTATTGAAGTAGCGAAGCTTTTTGTCATGTATTCCTGTGATTTTGTTATTATTCTTTCGGTGCATGTATTAAATACTGTTTCCTTATATATATAAATATTAAGATGAGTAAGATGAATATTTTGATGTTTAATATTATTGATTATGGTTTATTGTAATAATACAGATTTAAAATTAATTAATGTCAAGTGATCTAATATATATAATTAATTAGAAATTAGTCACAGTATATTTAATTATTTAAATTATATATTAAGAGTTTCTTTATCACATAAAGCTGGTGGCATTAATTATAATTGATCAAATATAATATAATAGATGTTATCCAAAGAGTATTTATTATTTTTTACGTGATTAATTAGGATATAATATCAAATTATATTCTTAATTTATCCATATGAATTAGAAAATAAAATTAGATATTTTTATCATAAAGTGATGTACGAAATTTACAAAGTTTTATCATTTTTGCGTAGGATTAAAACTTAGAGATTTCTTATGAACTTTTACATAATTGATTTATATGTATTTTTTATTTGTTGTTATATATTGCTACATGCAATTTTATGGATATTTCTATGCATAAAATTCAATGTCTAGTAGGGGTGTTCATCAACTGATCCAGACTGATTCAAACCGCAGTGACCGAACTGAAAAATCGATAACCGAATAAATCGAAAATCGAAAAATAAAAAAAAAACCTGCAAATTTTAATTGGATTAGATCAGTTTTTGGATGGTTTGATGAAAATCGATCCAATACAAACTGATCTAATATATTAATTTCCTTCTACCTACTTGGGTCTTTCCTTAATCATAGCCTAAAAATTTCTAAACCAAAGACTCATTAACCCATCAACTAAACCCAAGAAAAAATCTAGTCACATCTCATCAACAAAATTTTATCTTTGTAGAGCTTCATATCTCATTGCAAAAAAAAAACTATATTATAGTTTACTAATGCTTTTGTATTTAATTTTTTTTTTACAAAGCCAATATATACAAAAGATGTTATTTGCACAATAATCATGAAATAAATTTTAGGATTTTCAAAAAACCGAAAACCGATCCAATCCAAATCGAAAAAAATTGGATTAGATCGGGTCGGATTTGAAAAAAAAATCCAAACCGAATGGATGATTATATGATCAAACTGGAGGGATTAGATCGGACGATTTTTGCTTTCAAAACTGATCCAATCCAGACTGCGAACACCCTAATGTGTAGTGCTCTATATAATTTAATTAATTAGATGCTAGCCATAACATATTTGATTATTTAAGTTATATATTAAGAGCCTTTAGATTATATAAAGTATAAAACATTGATCATAATAAATCAAAATAATATAGTGAAATTCATTCTGTAGAAAATTTTATTATGTTTATATGATTTATTGGGATGATGTAACAAATTATAATTCTTAATTTATCCATAAGAGTTGAGAAAAAAGGAACATAATTTGCTAGTTTTGTCATAAAGAAAATCTAGATATAATTGAATTAGAATTTTAGCCCATAGATAAGTTTTATGTCAATAGATTCATAAACTTTAAGCGTTATTTATATTGATAAAACATGATGTATAATTTGATGGCCTCAAATTTAATTGTAAGCATGTATGTTTAATATTTTGTTGTCATGCAACCTACATGTTAATTTCTTTTATATGAAATGTGATGCTATTGAACTAAAAGAGTGATCATATCTCTTATGTCTTCTATGAATTTAATATGATAGGTGGAAGTCATAACTCTTGATAGATAGATTTTGGATCTACAATTGGCGTCTCAAATTCCACGCAGGTGGAACATTTTTCCAAAATGCCACGATGGCAAATCCTGTTAGTGGTGCGAATTCTAAGGATTGAAGATCTGCTCTTATGCATGGTGGATCTTTGCTAGTCAGATTAGTCAAAAAGCTTCTGCATATAAGACACTCGCTGGTCTTTTAGAGAGAGATAAATTTTTGAGAGAGAGAGAGTAATTTTAGCGAATGGTGTGGAGTGTGGGGGCTGAAACTCGTTGTCAGTGGTGTGAATGGATTAAGTCGATTAGTTTATATCAGATTTAACTTATTATAAGTAATAAATTAAAATTTAAAAAAAATTATTTAGAAAACAGGTCATAGATTTTTTTGTATATGTCGGACCTATCAGTCTACGAATCGGCCTATATCATATTATTTATTTTAAATAAAATTATTATTTTAATAATTTTGAATAATAAAGTAATATTATTTTAGTTATTCTTTTAATTGTTGAATGTTTAATAGACTTAAATAGACTGATATGTCCGAAAAGGTTGTATATGTCGGGAAAGGTACGAAGGAAAAGTGAAGAGAAGATTAAGTTTACAAATCTAAATTGAGAGAGTTATAAAATGTTTATAAATTAAATAAGCATGAAATAATTGAAACTTTATATGATGATATCTCCATTTATTCCTTTTATTTTGAAATATTCTCAAATAAGGAGAATTTAGTCAAATTAAATTTAAAGTATTTAACCCTCTTTCCCGTTCCCCCTGTCCAACATGAAGTGTGAAATCTGAAAACTAGATGATCAATCGAGAGCACACTCATTTGCAGCTGTCCACTGCAATATATCAAGATTCAAGAGGCGCATCCTTGTTTTCACTCTGAAGAGTCAGATACGTACATCTTCACTAGAAAAAAGTTTTATCTATAAAGATTACATTGTTCCCCTTAAAGGGGTATGTAACAATCATCTGTTTAAGCTCGTGGTTTAAAATGCAAAAGTGAAACTATATTAGGACAAATTGACATGCCAACTCCACCATAGTTCCAAACTAAGTGACTAACGGATGATATCTACCTTTGTGCCATTGATAGTAAGTGGCGAGAGCAATTCTAAAATTTAGGCAAGCATATCATCCATTTTTGTTTCTACTGCCCCAGAGAAAACGCAGAAGGAAATGCAACCAGCTATAGGTCCATTCTAAATAATCCCATTGGAAATGCTGGAAGTAGCATTTATCTTTAGTGAGCACTCAGGGATATAGGTAACACCTGCTAGACAAAAAGGTGAATCTGTGAGAAGCTGAGCTATAGCATAATTGGCATTTCGCAGCATGAGTGGCAGTTGACTATTTTGAAGAGAAGAAAAACTCCTACTAATGACGAATAAAACAGAATGCACAAAATAAACAAAAGTTCTTTATGTATATACTTCTCACTTATCAGTTGTACATACGTAAGAACATATGCTTCTCACAAGTAAATACCTGCAGGGATGATGGTAGAAACAAATGACTAGTTGTCTAGTTCCATGCAGCACAACTAGTAATATAAAATGTACCAAAATGGGCAGTTGTTACAGAAATGTCACAGCTAGGGGAAGCCAACTCAAGACATTATAAAATGCATGACTAAAAAGTGCTGTGTTTTAGTTACAACTTTAGCTGAGAGTGATATTTCAAAATAAACATGACAATCATAGAAGTAACAGATGTTTAGGCAGCAGTCCATCTTCCTGTGAATTTGTATTGACCAATTATTTCTTCAGATAGATGATCAAACATGCAGTAAAGAAGAAGAACATTGCAAAAAAAGTACAGCGATCTTGACCTTTTTCCTTGACATCAATTTGCAAAGAGTCCAGCATAATTATGCCATCAGTCAATGGTAGTAGTTCAAGCTTAATTGTGGCTATGGATCGAGCTGGAATACGCCTGATGGCCCGCACATGATTTTGAATCCATCAGTGGCAGTCAAAACAAAAGTTACCGAAATAAAAATGAGATCTGATACATTACCCAAGCGGAACTCTACTCTGCAGCCATAGATGTGTACAACTAAGACCAGAACTAGGAATGGCATCATCACTCGTAGAAACTGCCTGAACTTCGCCATCATAACTTTGTTTCTCATTTCCTTTTACAATAGAAGTGATGCTCTGTCCCCGTGTGGCACCAATACCTCTTTCACTGTTTCCTCTTCCTAGAAACTCTGCGAAACCAATAAAAGGACTCACTGGAGTCGTCGGTGAATTCAGGGAGACCACAGAAGGGGGTGAAGTAAATGAGGCTGGAGCAAGCACTGTGAAAGTTAGATCCTCGGATGTCAAATTTGAAGCTTGAAGAGTTAAGATCTGATCAAATTAAATCAAGTAAAACTAATTGTGATTGCTGATAAAAGTGTTAAAAATAATTGTAATTGCAATAGGAAAAATAATCAAACCAAACTAAATGAGCTACCATGCAAAGCCTCAGTTTGTGTTAGACAATAGCTAAACATATATTAACCTGCACAGGAAGTCGGCTAGTTTTTTCATAAGGCCCAGCAGACTGTCCTGACATCTCTGATGCAACAGAGATCATAATATCCCTCAAGGTACGTGGTCGCCAACTGGTTGGTTGCTTAAAGAACAACCTTGATGCTAGATTAAGCAAAAAACCATGGGAAAAACAACTAATTAACACCTTAACTTTCATTAGGTAGCACACCAGCAAACCAAGACGGGCAAAAAGCTTACACGTAAAATTGCTTCGACATGACACCATAATTGCATACTGATCATTAATTAAAGCAATCTTCCTTCTGTCAAGAATTAATTTTGATGTTTTATCTCCAAATTGCAACTTTGACAATCGGGAACTTCTGTCATCCTGAACATTGAGACTCTTCCCTGTAGAAGTTGCTGGTTTAAGGATAAAAGAATGCTCTTCACCTCTCCTGTAATTAGAAACTTTTAATAATATGAAAAGATTATTAAAGCTAATCACATAAACAAAATTCTGAATTTCACTGAGCATATTTATTTCTGTTTTCTTATTTTCTTAACAGCTAATCAGATTGATTTCAACACAAAAGTATACAAATTCAGGCATTCAACATACAGAAATTGCCTTCACTGTCTATGAGCTGATAATTTTTCTTGTCAAAAACATGGTACTTCGGAAAAATTTTGCATTATTGTACACTTCATTTCTAACAAGTAACTCAGACATGCAACATGGTATACAATTCTCCAACATCAAGAAAAATAATTTACAATTTATTTAAAACCAAATTATGGTGAAACAAATTTTTTTTTTCATGTACATTAAAGGCTGTACTAAGAAATTATAGTTTCTTGCCTAAACCCATCATCATTGTACACTCTAGGTCTAAAGCACAAGCCAATGAAACTAGATAGATGGGAAATTCATTCCAACAAAATGCATGCCCATTAGGTGCACCATAATCTTTAATTTGTCTTTTGTTTAACGCTATAGATTCTAGAAGTCAAAATGTCTGGGTTCTCTAGCTCCCATTTCCAGTCATATTGACTGATAACTGTAAAGCTGTCTGCACTCTCCAAATTCATAGTGGTGAACCATTTCTTTCTATTTTGTCCTACTTGGTCAATTATATCTTGTCCTACACTTTGTCACTGACACAATTATTTTCTTTATTTAAAGAAAAAATCCTTTTGCTACTGTTATCAACAAAAGCAACCTTACACTTTTAAATTCACACCTATATTCTTCCTCTTCTACTTATGAAAAAAAAATAGTCCTCTCTGATAGAGTTTCCACAACATTTAGCTCTAAACACACCTCAAACATCTGAAAGTAGGACAATATTTTTTTATTTTATTTTTTTAAAAAAAGAACAGATATCTGAAAGATTTTTATCCTTACTCTCAACACCTCAAACAAGGAGAGCAAGATTTCCTTCTCTTTCCTCATTAAACGTCCAAATAAGAAGGTAACTCCCACATCTCACCCCCCCCCCCCCCCCCCCCCCCGGTCCCCACTCTTCTCTTCCCTTCCCTTCCCTTCACCACCACCTTCTCCATCACCAGCCTCTCAAAAGTGATGACCTCCTGAACACGTGGATCGAGTTCGACGGATCCAGCAAAGGGTTGAGCTTATGGGTCTCGTTTCCAATATCAAACCGAAAGACCCAATTTTGTCGATGAATCTCGATGTTGATCGGTACTTGAATGACTTCATGAATGTTGGGGTCTCAGTGTGGAATGATGGAGCTTTGGCTCTTCTTTTGACTCTGAGCTGGGTTCAACGATGGTGCCACCTCCTCCGGTGGTTAGTTTGATGAAGCAAACTGCCAATTCAGTATAGCCGCCGCCAATTTCTTTGTCTCTTTCTGCTTCATCCAATGGTGAACAAAAGGAGAGCACTGCCACAAAGGGCAGAAAACCGGATTCGAAGGGAGTTTGGGTGGACTTTGTATGCTCTGATTTTGGCAGATGGTAGTGCAAAAGAGAGAGTAGAGAGGAGAGATGTGAGGAGGAGGAAGAAGGACACATCACTTGTCTTGTCATGTGACAGTTAAGTCATTTCGGATACATGAGGTGATATTTTATTTTTCACATCATTACTAAATAAAATCGTATTAACAATAACAAGGGTTAGGAGCAAAACAAAAAGGAAAAAAATACGTTAAAGCTTGTAGAAAATTACCTTTTAACCTTGAAAAAAAATGGGGAAGCTAACCAGTAAAAAATATTCTTTAGGAAATGATATAGTGATGAGTACAATTGAACATTTGAACCTAAATATTACTATTGAACCTAATATTCAACTTTTTGACCTGACTAATACAAATTCCAAAATCATTCACCTGACTAAGCTACTGGTTAAACATATTACCGAAGTAATGCAGCTTACAAAGAAGAGGCAAATGTGGCACCGCATTTGGTACAAAGCATCTGACACATCGCTAATGCAGTACTGACTCGAATCTCGATAGTAAGCTTGTTGAGTCTCTGATTGTGGAACATTTGTTTATCTATATTATTGTGAGTGGATTTTCTTATAATCATTAATCAGTGTAGCGTGTTTGGATTTCCAAAAGTTAAAAGCAGGAACTTGTTCGCTTCTTCTTTAATACCTGTAAAACCCAAAAGGTCCTTCTCATTGTTTTCGTTTCACACAAGCATTAAGGACCAGCATGCCCAATTGATATATAAAATACTAAATATCATGCCAAAATTATGAAACTGGGAAATTATGAAAGTTATTTAAAAAATAATAATATTTTCAAACAGAACATTAAAGCAGAGAAGCAAACTAATCATTTAATCAATGCTGGGTATGAAAAATTGTGAGTGGATTTTCATATACTCAAACGCTGATTAAATGATTAGTTTGCTTCTCTGTTCTAATGTTCTATTTGAAAATATTATTATTTTTTCAATAACTTTCATAATTGCCCAGTTTCATAATTTTGGCATGATATTTACTATTTTATATATCAATAGGGCATGCAGTCATGTGAATAGAAACAATGGGAAGGGCCTTTTGTGTTTTACAGGTGTTAAAGAAGAGGCAAACAACTTTCTACTTTAACTTTTGGAAATCCAAACGCGCTACGTTGATTAATGATTATATGAAAATCCACTCACAATAGTATAGATAAACAAATGTTCCACAATCAGAGACGCAACAAACTCACTACCGCGTCCGAGACACGTCATTTGCAGTAAGTACCGCGTCAATGTCAGACGCTTTGTACCAAAGGCGGTACCACATTTGCCACGTCTTTGTAAGCTACATTACTTCGATAATATAATTGACCAGAAGCTTAGTCAGGTGATTGATTTTGGAATTTGTATTCGTCAGGTCAAAAAGCCCTAATATTCTTTCGGAAACAATGTAGTGATGAGTACGATTAAGCCTGTGTGATTAAGTTATTTGGTTTTCTCAAGCGCATATTGAACCCGCACACTTGTGCTTACATTCCATCATGAACGCCTCCCCTCCCCCTCCCTCCACACAAAAAAAAAAAGCACAAACATATGCAACTGAATAGCCAGGTAAGTACCAACAGAAAGTCAGAAACAATGTAAAGATACTTGTTCCGGAAAATAACCTGAGGGCTAGATTTGGTAGACAATGATCATTTCCAGCTTCAATACATGAAATCGGCACTGATGACAATGTTCCATGTTTTGTATCCTCCACGAAAACGAGGGTTATGGCATCTATAAACATCACAATATCTGGAGCATGTGCAGGAGCAACATTCTGGAGAACAACTAAAGAACTATTAATAAAAGCAGAACTGAAAAACATTTAACAGTAGAAAGGCCCAAAAGAGATGCATGGCAATATAATATGCAACAGATGTATATATAAAAAAGTAAAAGAAAAAGAAATTTTTTCAAATAATTTGATCCAATGACATCATAGTTCAAACCTTTATCTGGACACACAGAAGATCCTCTGAATTGAAATCAGCAGCAAAAGAATGGATCTCTACAGGTTGTATTATTTCAAGTTTCCTTCTCCACCTTCTTCCGGGCATATAGATGCCTTCTAATCCACAACAAACAGAAAATCTGTCTTGCTCCAATGAGACACCTCGAAAAGATAAAAGTCCTTCCACCCCAGTTTTTTTCCTTAAAGTTTTCTGATATGAGATTTGATCCCAATCCTCAAGATCAAAGCTCGGCTTAGAACTAGCTGCTTTAACAGGAGCAGCTGGAGCACTCGTACTTTGGGGTAACGATGACATGGAGTAACTTCTGACATTGCCAAAGGAGAATAACTGAGAGGTGCTACCAATTCCTGAATTTGAAGTTAAATGAGGGGGTAGCTGGCGAGTAGAAGGCTTCCTGTTATCCAATGGAAGTATCCAATTTAACAGTTCTGCACATGGATCCTGGTTTGTATTAACTGCATCCACCTGGCTGTCAGGAGACAGCATTCTGTCCGGACACTTTTCGAATTGGAGAATTTCTATACAAGGATCTCTAAGAAAATTTACACCAACATTCACCTGTAAAAGAACCTGCATCCTTCCAAACAAGAAAACTGAATTAGATCATAAATCTGAGTAAACGAGATTACCCAATCATGAGTAAGAGGATTTTGCAAATCAAAAGCTAAAAGAAAAAAACAGCTCAAGATAAAGGCAAACTTATATATAGGGTGCATTTGTTGATCCACTGGGATTTCCCAGCAAAATTTCATAAATACCTTCAGAGGCATTAAAGAGGCAAGCTAAACAGCACTAAAAGAAACTTTTTGCAAAGGCTAAAGTTCGATAAAAAGAAGAGACCAAGGAGACAGCAGGTGAAAGACAAGAATGAAACGATGAATTCCCAGTTATAAAAGATGTGTTCTAGAAAGTCCCATGATGATGTAATTACATTAGTAAATATACTCCCCAATAGTGGGTCCAAGTATCATATGCATATAGAAATATTATGCTCCGAATGATCCAGCAAAAATTTAAAGATTGCAGATGTTGATAATGCTGTCACACAGTGAACCAAAGCGGAGCATACAATGAGTTCATTGCACAACCTCATCCAGATGCACTAAAACTTTATACATTTTTACTAAGCACAAGTGAATTGGATTACCCCACACTTGCTAGTCGGTTTTAACGCGGAGTGATTTTTACAAGTGAATTGGATTGAAGTATCACTCGTCTTGGTTCTCTAAAAGGAATTTCTGGTCTAACAAAGTAAGGACAAATATGTATCTGAATAGATTTTTAAAAGAAATTTCATCACAGAGAAGAGGGAAAATACAACTAGAGCGAGGACAACATATCCTTCAAAACACGCAAACACTCTTACACTCAAAATAAGAAAGAAACAAAAAAGAAAAAGAAGAAGAAAAACTAGATACTAGAAAAACATGTAAAAAACAAGGCTTCCCAATCTCTCTGCATGTCTATAAGGGCAACCCCTTTAAACAACCATGAGCGGAACACCAAAGAGAGGCCATAAACATAATCCAATAAAAATTTAGCGGCAAAGAGACATCCTTAAAAATCTGAGCATTCCATCCCAATCTAGAGATTTGGATCCTCTAATCTGAGGTCACTCGCAAGACAAAGGAAGATAGAGGTGATGTCCTGTGCATGGAAAAAAAATGTGGGCTATCATATCCCCCCTGCAGAGGACACTATCTCTATCTCATCAAGTGATCCTCTCGTGCGTGCAGATCCTGATCCACATCTGCACAACATTATTTATAACAAATAATTGATTTCAAAACCATAGTCGTGGTTTAACAGATGATTTATAAATGAAGGATCACCAGGATGAATTGAACCTTTGCCATGTCTTTAATTATGACCAGAATAGCATCAATTACAACCAAGGTGATGTCGTGACCGCGTTTGAACTAACTGACTAGGCCAAGGTAGATAGAAAAATAACGGTAATTGTAGAAATTATAAATGATGAACTACATATTGCTTTCAGAGCTTATTATTTAAGCCATTATCAACAATACTCATAACACTAGAGCTCAATAATCATAGCACCTACCCCGGCAAAGGAAAAGAAGAAAAAAGTACTACTACCATTAATACAATTTATCTACTATTTTCCTTATTGTGTGTCACAAATTCATCATAGACTTCCTATATTAAAGTACAAATGATTGTACATTATGAGTAGAAGAACATAGGTCAAGCTGTGTGCGCGCGTGTGTGTTGAAGAATGGGGAAATTTAAGGCTCAATTCAATAAGGGAGAAGAAGAATCAGAAGAAGGGATTAAAGGGGGAATTTAAGGCTCACCATTATAAGTAGGCGATAAGAGGGAGAAGAAGCAGATAACCTATAATGCTTAATCACAAATTTAACTGAAAAAGAGTACACCATCTGACTGTGTGACTTTAAGATCCAAACAAACAAAACATCCTTGTCTCTCCTTACCAATTTAAGATCAACTAAATGCAAGATCATGCCAAAGTTTTATGAAACATACCACTATGTCTCCATTAGGTAGAGCACAGCACTTGACCGAATTTCTTGCCACTCCACCAGTAGTAGTTGCATCAAAATTTCCTCTATCAATATCTGCACTAATAGAAGACAATGCAGTCTCTTTGATTTTGCTTGTTGAGGCCTCTTGATTATTTGCCCCAGAAGAGTTGGAAATTTTTTCTGAAGAGCATCTTTTGGACCAAAGGGGCTCATCGGACTCAGAAATCCTCACAAAGAAGTTAGAATTCTCAAATTTTTGCAATAATAATGCAGTTTGCCTCTTCTGTACCTCCATCCTAAGAAGGGAATCACCATCTGAAACATTTGCAGGCTGCTCTTCACCACTGGTACTCAGTTCCCCTTCTCTAGAAGCTGAATTTTTTTTGTTTTCAATGTTTCCATTTTCTTTCTCAGGTCTGTGACCTATGCCATTCTCACTCATCATTGCATTAGATGGAGCAATAATTTGTGTATCCTGCTTACATGCAGACAAGCATGCCAAGATATGAACTTGTTCACCTGAATTACAGGTGTAAATTAGGTCTGCTAAACTTTTTGTGGAAGCCAGCTGACCAAATCACGTATGTCAAAACTGAGATTCATATATTTAAAGAATGAAACAATCTATTACCAGGAAAAAGAAAGGAACGATCAAGAGAACACAGGGACTGTATATCTGGCACATGATTCCAGTTTTCAGGAAGTTCCTCTACAGAAAGAAAAATGAGAATTAGATGTATCACATTATATATGCAGAGCAATCTGGTCCACTACATCACATATAAGAGGAAAAACTTAAAATAAACCGTATTGCTTAACTCTACTATTGAACTCTATGCTAACAAAAACCATGCCATGAATATAATTTAACCCATATGCTAAGCATATAACAAACAAAATTAACAAATCGTTTCTAGACCTAGAAGAGAAGAGACAATTGACATAGTCCTACTTTCCTTAATGGTTACTAATGAAAAACTCAACAGCTGCCCCATCTAGGTATCAATTTAATTCCCCTTTAATCAAGTTCTTGCACTTCACCAAGAAGAGTAAGTGGAAAGCTGATATCATACCAAATGGTGGTAGCTCAGTTGGTAAGAAGGGAGCTGAGTAAGTGGAAAGGAAAGAGTCTCGATTCGATTTCCACATGTCACATTTGGGAGGGGTTTAAATATCATCCCTGATCCGCCCCGCATTCTGGATTAGTCTTATAGCTAGATCAATAAGTCAAAGCTTGTGGGGATACTGGGGGAGCCAACTCGCTTCAAAGAGGTAATTAGGGTTGAGTTAACTCAAAAAGAAGAAGCTGATATCATCCTTATAGCACTTGCAACCCTTTGCAATCACTACATTTCAATTTAAAATTTACGTACTATATTAAGCTCAAGTCTTATAACATGCAAGTGAACAACCCTTTCCTATTCAAAAGGGTCAAACATAAAATAACGGAATAAATAAAAAGGAAGGCTATCTTGAACATATATTCATCTGTAAAGAAGTGCCAGAGCAATAAAATTCTAACCATATCACGTCCAAACTTCTGTTGTCACGCGAAAGAATAAATAATAGAAACAAGCTGAAAAATTATATATTGTTGAAGTGAAGACATACTGCATGGAATGGTAATCCATCCTTCTTCCTCAGAAACATCCACGTGCTTATCAACCATAGCTGGCAAGTCAAGTTTTGAATTCAGAACAGCCATGCTGCGATCAATCTTAGCATCATACGATGGGTATGGATCATCAGACGTTAGAGTCTCCAGAGAAGATCCAGCAGATGCAGACCTATGATGCGTGTCAACGCGAGGTTGCGGAATCGATGAACTTTCTGTATACACATTCGTAGTAGACCGCATCAAAAAATTCATGGCGACGCCAAACAAACAAAAAAATTGCCTGCAAATTTAAACGATTCAATTTCAATGAAGAATAAGCCAATCACTCACATTACCGAATTGTAAAATGGAAACGCAACAGATTTCAGTTCAACTAAGCAAAACAAGAGTGAAAATGCGCAATTGGAATCGGAACAAACAGAAACTGAATATCGAATAGAAAATGAATTGATTTAAGGTAACCTGATGAAGGATCGAGCGTTGGCGCGAAGAGAGTGTGAGAGGGATAAGGTGGAGATCCAAAGTTGCAGTTGCGAATTTGCGATTAGTTGGAGTGCTCTCTCGATCTCATTCTCATTCTTCAGAAAGTTTTAGCAGATTTCAAAATAAATTAATTAATAAAAGAGAAAACAGTAATTTTAATTAAAATTAATGTTTTTTATTTAATATTTAAATTAAAAAAATATCTCATTTTCTCTCCCTGTGGTTTATGATTCTCTAATAATAAGACATAGTAATTTTGACTAAAATAATAGAGAAATGTTATATCTATTTTAGTTTACAATCTCTTATATTTAACTAATGAACTTGATTTGCGAAAATAATAACAGTTGATTGACAGAAATAAACGGTTAAAATATAGTTGTAAGAGATTATAAACGAAAATAGGTTCTAAATATAACATTCTTCAAAATAATTTAATTTTATGTTCTTTAAAAAAATAAATATTAATTCCTTAATAAAAATATAAAAATGGTTATATTTCTTTTGGGGATGATTATATTTCTTGCTATCTCTTTTACAATAGTTAAATACTAGAGTAGAGATTACCAAAAAAAAAAAAAATACTAGAGTAGAAATTGATAAAAAAGAGGAAGATGAGAGAGGGAGTGAAGGAAGTGCTTAAAGATGGAAAAAAGAAATCTGTATCAAGTGATATTTGATTTTAATCAACGGTTTTGAGAGAAGTATCGGAGGTGATAGACTTAATTGATAATAAGTATACTATTTCTCCTTTTTTTTTCTAAATTTTTTTGAAACCTTTTTGGGTTGTATTAACTTGAATTCAGTATTTTTTTTTTTTTTTGGAGTTACCCAATCCTAATTACCTCTTTGAGGCGAGTTGGCTCCCTCCGGTATCCCCACAAGCTTTGACTCTTTGAGCTGGCTATGAGACTAATCCGGAGTGCGAGGATCAGTGATGGCTAAAGGTTCAGCCCCCTCTTCAAGAAATTCGGTATTTTTCTGATCGATTAATTTTAAAAGTGTTAAGATTTTTTTTCTCTTTCTACAATGAAATAACTCCAATTAAAAATATTGAAAACATAAACTACAAATTGATAAGTAAACATATATTGTTATAAAAAAAAAAAAAAAAAAGTAAACATATATAATTGGATATTTTGGACATTATTTTCACATTAATATTGAATTTTTATTTAATTCATTATTTTCCGATCCAAATAATAAAGAAGTAGATTATATTTATAAACTTTTTGTTTACAAATTCTTACTAACTAAATTATGTATTTTAATCAAATATATATATTTTCCAGAGTACATAATTTAATTTATAAAAATTTATAAATAAAGTATAATATTTCCTATAAATAAATCATACAACTTTAGTAATTCATTAATCGTACTTTGTTAAAGAATGTTATTACCCAAAAAATGGATCAAATATCAATTCATTCTTAAAATACCACAATTTAAAAGTAATCATCTCATGTAATTTATTATATTCATATTGTACGTATTTTCCATTTGATTTTTTACATGCTTTCTATTTTGAGTAAATTTTTCCACATAAGTTAATTACGTGTAGTCGTGTACATATTATCAAATGTCACCGCCATCTTTCTTAGCGCATATATATTGAAATAGCGATTCTACAACACTTGTCTCTCCATGTATGTTAGTGCTGAGTGAGAACGCACCAGCTTTTGGCAATTCCACTTAATAGTTAAGAACAACATTCCCCAACCGAACTTCCATACATGGTGAAGAACTCACGTGATGATGATGCCACAGCCAAAATATACTCAACAGCCAAACCCAAGTGTGGCTAAGGCCACCACGTCCTGCCGCACCACTTCCATTACTCATATTTTTTTTTTATGCCTACTATATTTTTACTGTACAACACGGATAAATCAAAATATTCAGAAAAGAGAAATAATAAAAGTTAGTTGAGATTTTGATCCAACGATATTAGAAAGTTATATATAAGGTAGGCATTAAATTAAAGATAGATAAAATAACTTAATTATATTCTATAATAATGAGATTAAGGTTCCTCATATTATAAGAGATAATTTTATCTCTTACATATATAAAAGTGTATGGATCCCATATGAAACCATATGAAAAGAATAAAGACAAAAGACTCACATAATTTTTTTTATGTACATAGAAGATAAAATTTTATCTGGAGAAAAACTAATCACTATAATAATAACTTCCAAACATATTTCTAACGAAATTTTATTTTCTCGCTAATAAATTGTTTTCTGTGAACCACCCAATGGGCCTTAAGGTATCTCTTTTGGGCCTCTTAGCTTCTTATCCAGATGAAGCCATTGCTTCATTATGCTTGCTAGCATTCGCTATCGCTTCTAAAATGATCTTGTCCTCTTGTGTACCAAAATGAAAAAAAAATATGATCTTGTCCTCTTGTGTATCAAAATAAAAATAAAAATATGATATTGTTCTCAAGGACTCAAGGTCATACGTGGCAATTGCTGCGGAGAATTCCAATCTTCCTACGTTGCCGCAAGGCCCGCAACCCTATGCACTGAACTAAAACCTAACTCGGCGATCTCTAACAAGACACACGTGGCAATGGGCGATGCTCATGCTCAGTGCTGCAAAGCTCAAACTTTCCTTTTTTTTTGTTTGATAAACAAGCTCAAACTTTCCTTACCTACAAGCAACAACTCCTAATTTGAGACGCACAACCTCATAAAAATATTTAGTATTTTAAGAGCAAAAGTAATTATTTATTCTGCGTATAAATTATTTATTTCATTTTATTAAATAATTAATTTAATCCAAAAACTAAAGACATGTCTTTTTGTAGAAGAATGTATTAAGTTTGAAGGATGGATAATATATATATATATATATATATATATATATATATATATATATATATATATATTTTTACGTGGATTAAGAAAATCACATATTTATTAAAAAACTGTTAGCTAGTCTCTGTCAACCAAACTTCTTACGTGAGATACTAGCTTGTCTAACGAATGAGCTTCTAATAGGCGTTTGGTTTAGGAAATTTTTTGGAATAGTAGAGAAATGAGATAGATAGAGAAATGATTGGAAAGATAGATAAAGTGAGATAAGTAGAAAAATGTAAAAAAGTTGTTTGGTGGGGAAAAACTTTATTGGAAAAATTAGGTAACTTTATGAAATCAACAGTGCATTAAAAGCTAGATAACCGGTTTTCTGAAAAATTTCACCTTCAAATTGGGTTTCTAAACAGTGCGGATATCTATGTTTCTCATAAATCTAGACAAATTGGATAGATGAGTTTTTGGTGAAAAACGTTGAAACAAACATGGGGTTTCTAAAAGTTGTACTTGAGAAAGATAGATATCCGCTAAAAAGCTCCCAACCAAACACCACCTTAAGGACTTCATTATTTTGAGCATATTTTTATTTTATTTTTTTGATAGATTGAACATATCTTTGGTATTAGAGGAGTATATACTCACTCCTTTACTAAAAATAGAAAAAAAATGGAACTTAAGGGAGGGTGAGTAAAATGAGAAAAATCAAATATATTGCTCATTCATAATTAATAAAGGATACATTGAATCTTCAATAATATAGAAGTACTAAAGATACTTTTCATTATTTTTATATTACACTTCTAACATATTTATTTATTTGATATCTTTTTAACTTTATTTTTATATTATATTATAGTACATTTTTTATAAAAAAAATTATATACATATTTAAGGACTAGTAATGTTTAATGTAAAACACATAACCTTATATAACCTCATTCCAAAATAAGATAATGAAATCAGAATAAAAATATACAAAACTTTATATCTAACAAATTGTAATGAAGTGACAATCATTATATTATTAAATAATGTGTACAAATATATATGACTAACATTAGTCAATATTATAATTTTCTTACCCAGTACATAATTTTCAAATTTTTTTCTCTCAATGCTGTAGGACATATTATAGGGCCTCTCTTAAGACATTTTTTCCATTCACAAAGACTTTCAATTAAAGAAAATAAACCTCTTGCTACTTATTGCTAATTTATTTAGGGTTTTATTTTTCTCATATTGCATGAGATAAATTGTCTTGTGCAACTCATAAAAAAGTGAGTGAAACTTATTTTTTTATTTTCTTTTTTTTTCTAATGGATCTCACTTACTTTTTTAATGTGTTACATGAGACAATTTATCTCATATAATATGAAAAAAATAAAAGTCATTTACTTATCTCTAAATTGGTGAGCTCAAGCTTGAACGACCGGGACTATCCCCACCCACAACAGTCCAAACTACACAGGCCCACAGCCTAACAGTACCCGTCCGGCTCCGCCACGGGTTTGATGAAAAGTCCAAGTAATTATTATCTTAATCAAAGACAAACAGACACGTCAGCAGAAGAATAAGACTAGTAAATAATGACGCGGATTGGATAAGAATCGAGTAAGAGCCAGCATGGATTTGAGTGTTTATTTTTCTCTGTTCTTTTTTATTTTTTAATGTTTAATTGTTCACGACACGGTCATATACATAAAGATATGAGATTTCATTTTCTCGTAAGAATTTTTTTTTTTTTTTTTGTAATTTTTTTAATAATGAGTCTTATATTTATTTTAAAAAATTTATACATAAATTAAAGGGTCATAATATAAGAAAATATTTATCATACAACATGAAAAATATTATTTCCTAACAACATTTAACCCACAATCGGTTTTACTTTTATCCCCGTCGGCGAGCTGGGGTCGGTGGTTTGGTGGGTGGGTATGGGTCCTTTGTGTGAGTTTTTGATCATTTCAATTGTGATGCAGAAAAATATTTGATAAACCTAATTAACTCAAGCTAGTTGTATTGAATTAATAAATGACTATGTTATCAAAAAAAAATTAATGATTAATTAATATTTAGTTATCACAATTAATTATTGAAAAATTTTCTTATCCATATAAACATTTAAAGATATCAATAGCTGTTCGTTTCGGTGGAGAGGATCAATCAGAATTCAGAATGCTATTTCGGTAAAACCGTCGCTGTTAAGGGACAATGACTCAACGCAAGACAAAACAGAAACCGGGTTTGGTATCCTAACTTAGCCATCCAATAACCAAAATCAAAATTAGGCAAACATGTGGTTGCGGCTTTTCGCATCCCGTGTGCATTGCGAGTGTTGCTTCACTCACTGGTCCATTTACTTGACCTGACGCATATAATTGATAAAATATCTTGAATTATTTATGCAAATTAATTAACAACATAAATATTATTTTATTTTTCTCTTGCATATATCATAGTATCATACATACTCATCAAGAAGTGTTGGATGTAAGAGCAAGTAAGTCGTATCAGAAACTTTCATTCCTAAATTAAGTACTTATTAACATAGATTGTTACTCATAAATGTAAGAGCAGATTAATTTCCTTGACTAAACTTCGTATCGAAAAAGTTTTTAGCAACATCTTTTTATATTTTTTAAAGAAACAAATAAAAATAATAATCTTGAATTTTGTGTGACTCCGCTTTGTTGCGCAACTGGGCACTCCTTCTTCTCCCTTGAGCTTCTTCATTTTGGTAGCGACACTGTTTGTTGTATTGTCTTGTCCATCATGTTCATACCTCATAATTCCCCTTTCATTTTCCTCTAGAAGCACATCTTTTAAATGGGTCATTCATCACCACCGCAACTCGCACCAGATATTATTTCCCCATTTTCATCGTCAATTTCACAAAACACTTTCACACAATGCTAACTTAACACTGTCCCTGTTAACTTTTCTTCTCTCTCTCTGTCTTTGTGTGTTGTTTACTTGTTTGTAGTATTTTGGGAAAGAAGCACCAAAGAGCCAAGCGAGTTCACATGGGATTGGGAACAACCCAAAGGAGGAGGAGAATCCAAGGTAGCAAAGACGATGGAGTTGGAAACCAAGTTGCGTGCGATACAGAAATCCTTCGACGACCGTTACTCACGCTACGCGCGCGAGTCGCTCGACGAATTGCCTGATAATTTCACCATCACCGACCCTTCCATACCGGGCCACCCCATCGTGTTCGCCAGCCTCGGGTTCCTCAAGATGATGGGTTATTCCAGAGATGAAGTTGTTGGCAAGAGTGGGGCCATGTTTCAGGGTCCAGGGACTTGTAGAAGGTCGGTGATGGAGATTCGAGAGGCCGTTAGGGAAGAGAGAATGGCTCAGGTCAACTTGTTGAACTATCGCAAGGATGGCACACCCTTTTGGATGTTGTTTCACGTTTCCCCTGTTTTCAGTGCCCATGGCGGCGCCGTCGTTCACTTCGTTGCGGTTCAGGTCCCACTCCACAGAAAACCCAGGGTTCGGAGCCAGGACGGATCCAGGGTGCAGGATTTTGGGTTTGGTTGTTGTAGGAAAGAAGTTTGCTCTGATTCTTTGCTCGAACTTGGTCGTGTTTCTTCCTTGGATCAAGTGTTGGAACATGATGTCAGAGGTTTGTGTCTTTTTTTTTTGTTTTTTTTAATTAGTTCCCCTCGTGTTCATACATTTCTTGGTTTTTCTATGCTTGTGGCTTGGTTTATGATATTAATCACATACTTATGCCTGACTCACTCCAGGTAATTATTAGTTACAACGTATATGGGTTGGTTAATGGATTAATTATCTGATTTTATTTTATTTTATTTTTTACAACTTTTTTTTTTCTTAAGTTGCATTGGGACACGTTTCTAACCAATAATTAACTTATGTGCCAGTCAGATGTAGGATTCCAACTATAGAAATAACATTTTCTTAATCAAATTTTGTTATCTGTCATTTCTATAGCCCCTCTTGGCTTAACAGCCCTTTTTTCTTTTTCTAGCTTAGTGATTGTCCTAGCGGTTTGGGTTATATTTGGTATTTGCTGATTCGTTAGCTCAATGACATGCAGAATTGGAGAGTGAAGAGCCGTGTGAGGCAAGTGATGTTGAGAAGAGAAGTGCTGTGACTGCCATGGACAACATTTTTTCTGTACTAACCCACTATAGCGAGTCGACGGGCAGATTGGTGTGTAGAAAGAGATGCAGCATGCCTGACGTGGGTGTTTTTAGCTCATCCTTCCTTATTTCTCTTGGTAGAATCAAACAAAGCTTTGTATTGTGAGTTATTGGAAAAGTCTAGTTTTCTTACTTCACCATAAGCTTCATGCTTTTTTGCAGACCCTTAATTTGTTTATATGTTGGATTTTGAGTTTCCTTGCAGAACTAATCCACATTTACCGGACATACCTATTGTTTATGCCAGTGACGCCTTCTTGAAATTGACAGGTTCTAAAACCATTACCTTATATAAATTAATAATAGCCTTGTGATCATTTTTAGCAAATATTCTGGCATCTTATGTTAGGATATTAAGCCAATAATTCAGATTCTTTTAAAATTTCAGTTTATGTTTTCAACTATCCTGTTACTTGAATAGGGTATCCAAGAGATGAAGTGTTGGGCCGCAACTGTAGATTTTTAGGTGGAACAGATACTGATACCTCAACTTTACATCAGGTAATACATATTTTTCACTGTAGTTCTTCAATATTTGTCTTGTAATTTGGCAACTTAGACCAATAGAACTGGACCATGTGGTTTGTCTTTTTCTTATTGCTTACAGATAGGGGAAAGCATTAAAACTGAACAACCGTGCACAGTACGTATTTTGAATTACAGGTTAACACTTTCCTTCACTTTTGTCTGTGCTGCCAAAGCTGTGAACGTTATTTATTGGATGTGCTGAATCAATTTACTTCAACACTAACAGGAAGGATAAAAGCTCATTTTGGAATCTTCTTCACATTTCACCTGTTCGTGATGCTTCTGGCAAGGTATTCTTGACGAGCTATTCATTAGCTGAACTTTAATTGTAAATGTCTCTGTTTTTTAATTTTCTCTCAGTCATTTGTTTTTACTCAGTCTGATATTGCATAGAGAATATTAACATGATCGAACATGAATATGGTCTTGATTGTGTTTCTTTGGCAATTTTAGAAGACTGCTATTGTTTTGGCTACTTTGACAGTTCCAATTTTATTGTTATTTTAATCAGTCAGGTCTTAATGTATAACCAATTTAAATTTATAGAAATTCGTACGTTGCTTGTTGAAGTATCTGCTTTTGATTGTAAACTCTGAAGTTTCTCATATTCCTCGTGCATAATAAGTGCTTTGTTGGTCTGGACAAATGATTTACTGGTAGAATAGCTGGGGAAGCTAAGAGTTCATATTTGATATTGTGTGCTTGGCATAATTTTACTGTGGTAGTAACTATTATTTGCTGTCCTGGCTAGGTTGTTAAGAAGGTAATGGTTCCTATAGTAACAAAACTGATCCTATTTGCTTGATTTTACCGATTGTGATTTAGAATCCCCCTCCTCACCCCCTCCCCCTAATCATTCAAATGATCAAGTCAGAAAACTGATTTGCAAAGAGTTACAATGTATTCAAGATTGGCTAAATGGAAATGGCGTGACTGTGATTATTGTGTAATTTTTTGTGGTGGATCATCAGATGCAAAGCCTTTTACTTCATAGATTTGTCATTTGGAGAATAGAGTTGATGTAATCTGATTGATAAAGCAAGCCTTGCGGTGAAAAGCAGTAGCTGAAATTGTAGATGATGAAATATTTATCACAATTCTGTTATAATTACTTGTATTTGATAATTATTATAATTAGATATATTTGGTTTTTGTTTACCTAATCGATACCTAGATTTTTAGCCACTCTCCTCTTCCCTCTGGGGTTAAGGATGAAAATTCAGAGTCTTGCCTCCTCCCATCCTATCTATTCCCCTCAGAAGAGACTGACTAATCCAGGCTTTGTCATAAGTTAATTGGCTGAATTCATTTTCATATGGATGTAGTTCATACTTATATGTTAGTAGGGGTCTTTGCTGATTTAGCTAGTCACGGCTCCATTATATGCATTTTTGGGAAGAGACGCCTTCAGCATCATATATGGGTTTTACTTCTATTTCTTTTTAGGCTAAACTGGAAATCATCGTGCAAAATGAAAGACCAATTCTACTTATTATGCTTTCCTTGGCTGAATTATGTGATTGCACAGGTAGCATACTTTGTGGGAGTTCAAATAGAAGATGACTATAAAAACGAGGATAGACAGTGTTGGAGACCTGAGATGAGGCATCTTAGCGTGGTTGGTGTGGTCAAGGCCGCAGTGAGGAGTTCATCATTAACTGCCGGAACTTCGAAGTCAAAGTCATAGGATAAATCCTGGTGGATCCTTCGCCTTTGATATATGGTTTTCCAAATAATATGCCTACTTCCCAAAAATGTTATTCCCTTGGAGAAGTTATCAATCTCAACTGCTGATTGTTGAGATGACAGAAAAGATCAAAAATTGATTTGTGAAATCGATTCATATTGTCAATTGTAAGAAATCATTCTGCATTGGAAGTCTATAAAATTTCTTTTCCCACATGGTGCGTTGAAAGGAACTTTTATTTTCCTCAATGTAGCTATAAAACTTATGACTTGTACTAACTTCACCTCATCTTTATAGTTGCAGTGACTATTCAACCTTACATTTTTATTCTTCTATGTATATTGATTCAGTTTTTACTAATTTTGATTGTTGTTCCCATAATATATATTTTTTGGATTTTAGTTCTATAGTTTTAGTTATTCAGTTATTTAGTGTGTTTTTTTTCCAAGGTACAAAGCAAGGCCCCAAGATAGTTAGTTTTTAGTTCCCATCATTAAGTATCAGTCTGAATTTCAGTTATTTAAGTTTTACTTATAGTTTTTTTTCATCAACTTTTTTTTCTTCTCGAACGATTAGTCTTTATAGTTTAAGTTATTAAGATTATGGTCCTTGAGGGGCCACAACTTTAATGTTATTTAAGTACAAGGACTTGTACTAAGAAAAATATATATACAGGTGCCAAAATTTACCTTAAACTGTTATTGCTGTTTTATTTTTAAATTATTTTTTATTTGCTATGACTTGGTGTATGTTTGTTGCATTACCTTACATTGTACTTAAAATAATCTATAATTAGTAGCATGATTGGATTAACTTATGAAAAACTTTTAATTAAATTTTTTAACAGTCAATTATTTCTTCAAAATATTCTACTTTCAATATATGCAGGAAATAAAAAAAAAAAATTGGATATAATGGTGGCATTGATGTTTAAACTTGTGATCTCATGCAGACTATTCAGATCTCTCATCATTAGACTAATCCGTGGTTTTTTTTAAAAATTAATGTAATTCAAATATGCACATAAACTTTTATACTTGTCATGAAATTTATATCTTGTCTTTTCTCCCCCTCAATGTCATTGATCTCATATATTTAATACAATAATGTAATTAGTAATTAACTTAATTTGTTTTGGGGGCTTATTAATCTCGTGCAGTATGAGACTTTTTGTCTCCTATTGCAGACACAACTATGTGATGGGACCCACCGTTTATTAAAAAAATATAATGCAAAAATTGATGGGTTTGTAAAAAAAATTCTCTTCGGTAACATGAGAATTTATTTAACTACTGTTTACTGAAATTAAAAAAAAATAATGCAAAAATTGATACGTCTGTAGGAAAAAAAATTCAAAAATTCTCTTCAATAACATGAGAGGTTTTTTCCCTTTGTTTTTAGTCGGAATATTTTTCAAGGAGAAATTATTAAGTACATCCAAGAATTGTTGATCTAGTGTCAATTTAGTTAGATTTTAAGATTTGACCTGCTCAAAGTATATTGAATTCAAATCCTAAATGTCACAATTTTTAAAAGATGGAGAGACACAAATCCAAAATCAAATTAGTCAGATCTATTAAAGACTTTGGACACTGGTTGATATCTACAAAAAAAGAAAAAAGAAAAAAAAAGACATACTTATTTTATTAAATTTAGGCATGTTGATTTTGACGAATGGCTTTGAATAATTGGACACGTGACATAGTAAATGCAAACTTGCTGATCATGCTTTGAAATTCGCTACCTTTTAGATTAGGAATCTTGAGCTTTGTTTAATAATATGAAACATAAAATAACCAAATATTGTAAATTCCTAACCGAAATGCATTTATAACTGAACATACAATATACATATAAAGTTTAATTTTGTTTGATTTTTAAAATAATCGCAATATTGGATAAATATTAGTTTCAGGGACAATATATAATTTTAATTTTTTGTTACTTTCTAAATCGCACGACAAAATGTTTTATGGGTTCGTTTTTTTTTTTTTTTCCAGTTACTGCAGATAAGTTATCTGCAGTAAGCCCAATACGACGTTATTTTGGGGCGGAAATTATGGTGTTTTTGTTATTTTAATTTATTTCAGGGTTATAATAGTCTTTATATTTATAATTTTTTAAGATTTCAATACCAAAACGACGTCGTTTTAGGAAAATGCAAATAACTTATTTGCAGTAACTGCAGAAACATTTTTCCATGTTTTATATATATAATATTATGGGGCAGGATATTCTTACACCAATGTAAAAGTTAAAAGTCTTACCCTCAATCTTGATCATTGATCCACTTGTATCCAATGACTCACATTATTAAAAAATTTGAGCTCTTAGATATAAGTGGGATTAACGGACAAGATTAAGAGTGTAACTTACACTGGTGTAAAATGATCCTGACCTTAATATTATATATGGGTAAAAGATTTCTCCAGTCAACAGATATAAAGTATCTCCGGGACGAAAATTAAGGTGTTTTTTGTAATTCTAATTTGTTGCAGCGTTATATTAGTCTTTATTGTTATAATATTTTAATATTACAATCTTGAAACAATGTCATTTTGACTCACTAGAGATAACTTTATATCCAGAAATACTTTTCTCATTTTATATATATTAAAGAGTAAATACTCTTTTTCGTCCCTGGTAATTTTCACGAGGCACATTTTAGTCCTGAACAATAAAAAGGCTCATTTTAGTCCCTAATATTTGAAAAAAGGGCCACGTTCGTCCTTCCGTTAGTTGGCATCTGACGGCCCAACTAACAGAGCACACGTGGACCGTTACTTTGCTGAGTCACCGTTAAGTATGCCAGCGTGGAAGTAATACGACGTCATTTTATGTCTTCTTGGAGTTTTGGACAGCTGACTCTAGCATCGCAGACCCTATTTGGTCCCTGACAAATTTATCGAGGCCCTATTTGGTCACTGACAAATTTATCGAGGCCCTATTTGGTCCTTAACACCACAAACCTTTCTCTATCTGCATGCACCTCAAGCTGCATTAAATGTTTTTTTCCCAACTCTTTCTTCAATCAACATAGTTTTCTGCAAGTGAATTTTCTCCCCATGTCAAAAGAAAATGAACAACTTTCCACAGAGATTCTGCAAAAGGGTGTTGAGAACTCTGACCCAAATTCAGGCACTCTTAATTTCTCAGTTAAAGTACGGCCTAAACTGCCAGATTTCCTTAGTTCAGTTAATCTAAAATATGTGAAATTCGGATACGGCTACTTCATTAGCCATCGTTTGTATTTGTTGCTGGCACCACCTCTTCTTGCAACCTTGATTGCTCATATTGGAAAGTTCACTTGGAAAGATCTCTATGACAAACATGACCTCACTGAGGCTCTATTTATATCAGCACTTTTGTGCTTAATGCTATATTTTTATATTGAATCTACACCCCGGTCTACCTATTTGCTTGATTTTCATGTTTTTGCCCTTCAGATGAGTACAAGGTAAACAACACTTTTTTGTTAACTATTTATCACTCTTCACATATTTAAGTGTGGATGAGATTTAAGTCTTCATTATTTGAGATTGTATAATTCTTTGCCAATATGTTTAAGGGAATGTAAGCCTATTTATGTATATATATTCAATTTTTTGCATGCATTGAATGGGACAATTAAGGACAAGAGGTATCCATGGTGATGTTTGAGGTAATTAAGGACCTTCTTGGTGTCATAAAAGTAAAACCAAAGGAATATTAAACACCACCCCATCACTCTCATCAATGATAATAAACCAAAGGGAAGATAGTGAAGGGAGGAAGGGACTTTTTGTAAGCAAAGATGTCAGGTTGGAGGCCATGCATCAAAGGCCAATATTACCACATTAGGTCCACTAGTCCTACCAGTTTCAGAACAGCTTCACTTCTTCACCAATTTGCTCTTCAAGAAAAAGAAAACAAAGCCATACATTCCGGATTACAAGCTGGGTTTTAAGCATGTATGCATTCTGGCAACAAGTAAGAAAGTGTTGGATGAGATTCAGAAGAATTTGGAGCTCACAGAGGAGTACATGGAAGCATCAAGGAAGACATTGGAACGATTTGGCAACACATCTAACAGTAGCATCTAGTATGAACTGGCATACCTTGAGTTTAACTCAAGGATCAAGAGGAGTGATAGGGTTTGTCAGATAGCTTTTGGTGCTGGGTTCATATGTAACAGTATTGTTTGGAAGCCCTCAGGAATGTTGGGAGACCCAAGCAGAGTCCTTGGATTGAGGATGAGTGCTGCACCACCTAGCTAGCAAAGAATCTTTTAGGGATCCTACATTTTCATATTATGAGCAATGGAAAAATGACATCAATTAAATAAATAAAAAAGATAGAGAAAGGTTTGTGGTGTTAAAGACTAAATAGGGCCTCGATACATTTGTCAGGGACCAAATAAGGCCTTAATAAATTTGTCAGGGACCAAATAGGGCCTTCGATGCTAGGGTCAGCTGTCCAAAACTCCAAGAAGACATAAAACGACGTCGTATTACTTCCACGTTGGCATACTTAATGGTGACTCAGCAAAGTAACGGTCCACGTGTGCTATGTTAGTTGGGTTGTCAGATGCCAACTAACGGAAGGACAAACATGGCACTTTTTTTTCAAATATTAGGAACTAAAATGAGCATTTTTTATTATTCGGGACTAAAATGTGCCTCATGAAAATTGTCAGACACGAAAAGAGGTATTTACTCTATATTAAACCAATAACTCATGCCTTCATTTTGGTAGTGCTATTGCATGCGTATATAAGTTATTTACTTATTTATAACTCAATTCCTTTTGTTTGTGAGAAAAGAAAACAACTGAATCATCCAAAACTGGTTGATAACTTGAATAAAATAGAAAATTCCCACACTAACATCAAAAGGGGAATTTAAAAAAATGTCCAGCAGGGCTCCCAGAAAGTCTAAAAGTCTAAACTACCCCTACAAATATCCATCCACATGGACGAATAATGACTCATGATTACGTGTTTGTATGTTTCATTTCCCGTTTAGATCTCTCCAAAATTATAATTTTGAGTAAAATTGAAAATCAACTAACTCACTTGACTTGAACCCAAACAGCAACACTCGGAATTCCAGCGTGGACAATGTAAAGCATGTAGTACCCAGGTGGGGCCACCGCCAGTGACAGGGGCCCACGTGCAGTAACCTTGTAAGCAAATGGTGCCACCACTTCCACCGCCGTCACTTCCAGCATCAGCATTCGCTGGTTCATCGCGAACGAGTGCGTCGTGAACGACGGCGCCACCAATGTCACGCTGATCCCAGGAATCGGATGGTACACCTGCAACGAGAACGTCACCGAAAACGTTCCCCCGTACGACGCAGTATTATTCGCCGCCTCTATCGCAATAATCGAGGGCCGCAACGTCAAAAATTCGGGCCCCATGTAATCCGGGTAATAAGCATCCAGGCTCAATTCTGTCGGGTACGGGTACGCCAGAAAATCGTAAACCCTATGCGGGTTGCTCCCGCCCACTAAAACCCTGCCATCTGGCAGTAACACAGCCGATGAGTGATACATCCGTGGAGTATTCCCCGGAGCCAGTAACTGAAACCTTAATAACGGGTCGCTCAAACCGGGTTTATATATAACCGGGTACAAAACCGGGTTCGCTGCGTTTTCCCATCCTGCAGTACCATTCGCAGCGCCGTTCAAGATGAGAACATCTCCAGTAGGCAGCAAAATCATATCGGGCATGACCCGAGGGGTGGGCATGACCTCCATGACCCATTGGGGTTCCGGGTCGGTCACTCTCAGCCTCCCGCAACTTCTCGAAGCTTCTAGAAAAACCTTCTTCTTGTTTGCCAAGTTAAACGCGCCGGGGAAAGCTCCGCCGCAGACCATCACCTCGGCGTCGGGCAAACGGGTCCCGTTTCCCAACCCGGTGAGGTTCATGGGTAGCAAAACGGATGACCCGGTGCTGGGGTAGTTCCTCTTCTCTTCACCGGGTATAATAGGATACTCGCGGACGACGCGGTTGTGGTTATAGTCAAAGAGAACAGAGCGACGGTTAGCGAAGATGAAGAGGTTGCCATCGGGTAAGAGGTGCAAGAACGGGTAAAGATTGTTCTCTTCACCAGGGTTAGGGTCTCGCGTGACACGCAAGAATCTGAGATAGTAAAACGACTTGTCGTTTAGCAAGTAGTCATTCTTGGGGACGAACTCGTAGGTGAAGGAGGAACGGCCACCGACGATGATGATCCTTCCGTCGGGGAGGATCTGGTTGGAGGCGTACCATCGGCTTGAGGTGAGGTTCTGATGAAGCTCCACCCAGTCGCAGAGGTTGTTTTCCGGGCACGGTGTGAAGGTTCGGAGTTTGTTGTAACCGTCGTTGAAACCGCCGGTTTGGATGAGGGTTCCGTCGGGTGCGACGGCGGCGGAGGAGCACCAGGCGTCGGACTGCATTGTGAGGGGGCGGATGGTGTTGGTGGTGACGTCATAGAGGACGGAGTGTGCGGTGCAGTCGATTTTGAGAGCAATGTCTCTTGGGTTGAAGCGGCAACGGCCCCCCGAGAGGGAAATGTTGGAGGGGCCGAAGTCTGTTCGGTCGAATATTATGACCTTGTTGTCCCTCATGACTTGCATGTGCATGGCGGAGATGCCTATGCTGCTTTGGAGTTGAACCCAATGCCCCCCTGCGGTGCTCGTCCCATCTGGGATCCCCGCTGTTTGGGGTATCAAGAAGACGAAGATGAAGAGTAAAGAAGTGGCGTTCTTGATCTTGAACGCCATGGTTTCGTGCTTCATTTTATGTCTTGCCAACAAGATAAAAAATATATATATATATATATATATATATATATATATTTATATGTATTATGTATAATTACCACTTCACCTGACTGACTACCTTCTTGAGTTTGTGAATTGATTTCTTTGTTTATTTAGTAGTGATTATTTATTGGATCAGTTAATTGATAAAAGGATGATAAATAATAAATGACCATGGGATATGTACGACTATATAATTACGAGTTGAATTATGATTTCTGAGAGAGTGAATGTGTGTGGGGTTATATGAAGATAGCGGAGTGACGAATGAAGGAACGTGCAGTGACAGCCTAGCTAGCGGGACACGGTCTCAGTACGTACGTGCTGCTTCTGCATGTTGGTAATAAGGTCAACGTTATAAGTTTTGCAGTCTCTGACTGAATTTTTTTTTGCAGCAACTAACACACTTCAATTGGAAACATTGGCGGTGGGGGACTGAGGGTTGTTATGCTTTTTATGTATATAGCATGGACCCAATTTAGAATGCAATCGCGTTTCACACAACAGGAATGCCTCAGATCTGTCAAATATAATGATCAACTGTACATAAAATTTATGAATATTTATGAACCTCGACAAGGATTGGATCTACCTACAATTTACTCAGGGAAGACTCTCCACAAATTAACAAATGCGAAAATCAGCACCACCTTTAATACAAGATGTGATCATTCAATGGCTGTACTTATTTTCTGTACAAGGAGCAGCCTAGAAGATGGTGCTTCTGCAAATTGATATTTTGTGGAACCATGGCTACTTAGTAGTTCCCCCTATACCCGTTACGTTTTACGTTCATTAAAGAAGAAATGACAATTTCTACTATAACTCAAGTAAAAATATATTTTACTTTAGTTCTTTTATGGCTATCATGTCATAAAAATGATTATCGATCGAATTGGTTAAAAGCAACTTGTTTTATATTATTATTTAATGACATATTGACACATTATAAAATAGGGTTTGTTTTTCTTATATTGTAGGAGAAAACAAATCTTTCCTACAGATATCATAAAAGATGTGCTATTTTTTTTAAAAATAGGTAGACCCCATATTTGTTGTATCTATGACATGAATGAGATTAGAAATTTCTTACAACATGAATTTTGTTTTTCCCTTATAAAATTAGTTAAACTTCTCAAGTAATGGTTATTGAAAAAACTAAGAAAATGTAAATTGGTTTTTTTTTTTTTTGTGTGTAAATCATAGGTAACCTTCACATAAAATAGAAAATAATTTTATTCGAGCCAAAAATATTCACATAATGGTGAAATTAGCTTTCCCCCACACGTATGCTCCCAAAGGTGATTTGGTTCTTTGAATTCAAGGAAAATAAGTATTTATTATTAACGCTTAAAATTGAAACAGGAAGGTTGAGAAAATTGCACATATGGTTTATTCAAGACCGTACTTAAAATTTTCTTTACTTTTTTAAGTTAAATTTGTACTTATAAGGATTTTGCCAAAACTTTCTTTTATCTTAGCCACTATGTTTGGTGCACATACTTTGACTCTTTCACCCACTAGGGATTTTTTTTCTTTTAATTTACCAATTTGGTATATGGTTCAAGGTATTTATGAACGGGAGTCATTTAGTGACGCGAGGGGGACCCAACGTCACTGAGTGCCGCTACCAACCCCCCCGCATCACTCACAACTTTTTTTTTTTTTTTTTTACTTTTTTCTATTGTGTGCCGCTCCTCTCCCCCCTCCCTGAGGCACTCACAGAATTGTGCCAAGTGGCACAATCTGGTTACTCTTATTAACGTAAAACTTCAGAAAGCCATAACTTTTGACTCGGGTATTCAAATCAAATGCTTTTTTTTTTGATTTCACATAACTTTTCGAGATCTACCCAATGACACCTCATTTGATACATTTTACCTTTCATTAATATAGTTCAAATTTGCAACACTAATTACACTTTTTTACAGATTTAAATTATGTTTGTGAGAGATAAAATATGTTAAATGAGATGTCATCGCGTAGATCTCGAAAAGTTATGCGAAATAAAAAAAAAATCATCTGATTTGGATACCCGAGTCAAAAGTTATGGCTTTTCGAAGTTTTACGGTAATACGAGTAACCAGATTGTGCCACTTGGCACAATTCTGAGAGTGCCCGGGGGAGGGGTGGCGGCACTCAATAGGAAAAAACAAAAAAAAAAAAGAAATTATGAGTGGCGCGGGGGGTTGGTAGCGGCACTCAGTATAAATGACCCCCATTCGTAAATACCTTAAACCAAATACTAAATTGATAAATTAAAGTCACAAAAAATCCCAATTGATCAAAGAGCCCACGTACTTTCATTCACACCTACTCACATCTTTAATGGCAGAATCCGAATATGTATAAAAATTTAAGTAGGATGAACTTTAATCAAATGACGAAAAATGTTCAAATATTAAACGATGTGTGTGTGTGGATAGATGTAATTATTATGTAAAATATAAAAAGGATTTGCGGGTTGTGTAACGATGAAAAGGGAAATGTTTTTGTTATGTTGTTGGAAACAGGTTATCTTATGTTTGTGAAACAAAATTATAAGAGGGACACGCAAATAATTGAAAAGAGAAAGAATAGAGATAGAATCCACTTTTGTTATGTGTGTGTTGAAATTTGATTTATCTCATGTTAGATGAGATAAATATAACCCTAATAAAAATGCTGCTCAGTATTTCAAATGACGAGTTCACAGTCAAATAATATACACGTTACAAAAGATAAAATAAAATAATGCACAAGGCCCAAACCTACAAGGCTACAACCATAAAGATGGCATGCCTATTTATGAGGGCTTATTCCATGTAGCCTATAACCTGCATTGATTTCACAATTGCCTCACCTCACCAATGTAGAGAATAAAAACAATCAATTCTAGATTGCTAACTACATTGATCAATTGGCAAATAGAAAACAAATATAGCAAAGAAGAATGAGATCGAGAAGCGTACTTCAGAGTTCAGAACAATTGGGCTTGGCTTTATTCGAGGGATTGTAGCTAGCTACGTAAATCATCTCAACATTTATTTAGCAGAAAAATAACTATGATTCTAATGATAGAGAAACATTTGTTCTATCTTTGACATAGTCAGTGTAGAGCACAAGCCAAATTAAATTATCTTTATTCCGTTAATATTTGACATGGAACGAAGTGCAAGCAAAATTAAAGATTCGGGGCTTGATAAAAACTAGTAAAAAATTTACTCCTTTATCATATGGGTTGATCTTTTTGACTTTCTATACCCTTGAAAGATATTATAATGTATTGAAAATTAATTCTGTTTTGTTGCCTCGGTTCTGTTCTAGTTGCAGCTTCGCTTTTATTTTTTATTTTTTTAGGTTGATCTCGATTCATTTTGTTGTGTTTCTCATTTCACTTGATCTTGTGCATATAATCGAATGACAAAGATTGTGTTATTTGCCTGAAGAGCATGACAAACAGATTAATAAATCGTCCAAAAACACCACGGATTGAATATAAACCATTTGCTCTCACTATATGATAAACAAAAAAGCAAGACTGATTACACGTCATACCCCCCCTTTTTTTTTTCTTTTTTTTTAACACCTTTGTTCTTTCTATTCTATTATTCTAGTATACATAGGATACCTCTACTGGGGTAAATGCTGATGCACTCTATTGGAGACTTGTAGGCAGTTACACAGAATTGCAGCTGAAGAATGGGTTGGAAAATTTTGATCAATGAGCTCTTAAACTCAAGTGCTCATATAGACCGTTTGAAAAATTCCCCTTTGCTTCATTCATTGGTACCTCTCCCTCTATATTTGTACCTGATAGCCCAATACAGGTAATGTAGGAAGTTCAAAGCACTCAGTACACACATGAACCAATAGAACTTCTCCAGGTGATAGTGGTTAAGGTTGGCACCAGATAACCATGCTCTGTGGTTTGAGTTACCAGTGATACTGTTTATTATAGATACAATCACTGAACTTAGGTAGTACCCCATTGCCAAAGAGGCCCAGGAAAGAGATGTGGCCAAGGATCTCATCCTTATTGGTGCTTCTGAGAAGAAAAATTCCAACAATCCAGCCAAGGTGAAAAGATCAGCTGACCCAAGGAATAAGTACTGAAGAGCAATCCAAAAGAATGTGATGGGTAATGGTTTGGTTGCATCATCAAGTAGGCCTGAGTGAGTGGCCACCCTTTTCCTCTTTATTTCAACAAGAGCAGCCACACCCATGGCAACTATAGAGAGTACTAATCCAATTCCAATCCTTTGTAGATGAGAGATGCCCATTTCTGATTTGGTCGCTTTCCGAGCATAGGGGATAATAATGTGGTCATAAATTGGTGCTAGGATTATGATAAAGAGCACTGGAAAAATTGGTAATGAAGCTGGTGGAACCTTTAGGGAACCAAGCTTGGTGTTCATAGTAGCAGCTTGTTCAACAGAGAATGTGGACAGCTGAGCGAGGCAGCAGTTAAGCATAATGGTACATGCAAATATGGGTAGTACTTTCAATACTACCTTGACATCCTCTACTTGCTGTACAGTGCATTCTAGTGAAGAATAGATTGGCTTGTTTGCAACTGCACTATTGAGAAATTTGAGGTTCTCCGTTGGCGTTTCAGTTTCTGTACTTGCTTTTACTGTTTCTTCCTCTGATTCCTTTCTACTTGATTGTGGATTAGAAGGACTTGAAGCCATATTCACAACAGCACTACTAGAGTTTCTGTAGGTGCAGCTATTCAGTAAAGCAGCAACAAGAACCTGCTCAATTTTATAACATGAAGCCAAGTTAGTCAAAAATGAATAAGAACAATAGTTGAGGAAAAAGAGAGAGGGGAAAATAGGATAACTAGGCAGAAGCAAACCCCATAAGTTAGTTAGTTACCTTTAAAATGGTTGTTAGTGGACTTCCTGAAGGGATCTTATTTCTGTAAGTAGAAGAGCCTGCCAAGAACACTGGAATGGATACAAATATGCTAATAGTAGATAGTGCAAAACCCCATTCCCACCCTTTGTTGTCTTCAACCCACACAACAAAAGTAACTGCAATAAGGGCACCACATGATAGGCAGAAGACAAAGTAGTTGAAGAAGGTTGATCTCTGCTTCCTTCCAGATGGGGTAGTTTCATCAAATTGCTCACCACCATGTACTGGCAGTGATCCTTTAATCCCTCCAACTCCCAGAGCCACAAGATAGAGGCCACCAAACAGCATTGCTGCTTTTCCACCATTAACTTCCTGACATGGGGTGTCTGGGTCACATTTTGGTGGCTTTAGTGAAGCTACGCGAGCTTGTATTGTGAGTACAATCAGACCCTGCACATAAACTCCAAATTCCTTAGCCACGTCACATTCTTGCAATATACAAAAGCAGAATAAGAATGTGCTAGCTGCTTCAGTTGATTTAGTTTCTCATTGGCAACAACTCTTATGAAATCTCACGTTCACAATTTCACAACTCAAGGTAAGGATTTATAAAAGGTAAAATTGTTTAATAACCTCTTGGACTACAATATTTTAATAATATTAACAGCCAAAGTTTTTTCTCACCTAGTAAATATCAGTTACATGAACTAAAAGACGAAATTTGTGGAAAACCAACAGGTCATTTAATTCTAGAGAACATTTAACTCGAATATTATCCTGCCCTTTTTTTTTGGTCATTAATTTTATGTTGTTCTGGTAATAGTTGTTGAGATATATAAAATCATTAACGTAGGCTCACCCATAAGTTTAAGCTTTTGGGTTGAATTGGTTTTTTACATGGTATCAGAGTCTCGTGTCCCGGGTTCGATCCTCATCGTGTCCCGGGTTCGATCCTCACCGTCTCCCACTTTCTCTTGTGGAATTTCTTAGCATAAGTAGGTGGGCCTGTGCATTGTCGGACTTTCGTGTGAGGAGACGTGTTGAGATATATAAAAACATTAATGTAGCTTCACCCATAAGCTTAAGCTTTTGGATTGAATTGGTTCTTTACAATAGTCATGCATTATTCTGAGAAGAGCTTTATAGCATCAAGAACAAAACCCACCAGGTCCCATGTTTGTTCCAATACATTGGCCCAATCTGAGGTAAAAGCTGCAGGAAATTTTCAATTGGCGTGTACCAATAGTTGGATGGCAATGCACATAGGCAATTCATTGATTGCATACGTTAAAAAGGGCTATGTAATAGAAGGCCTGAACTGGGTCCAGAACCCAACCACCAAGTCCCAAGTTTGTTCCAATACATGGGCCCAATCTAATGTAGAACTAAAACTGCAAGAAAATATCATGTGTTGTGTACCAATAGTTGGATGAAAATGCACCTAGACATTGCATTGATTACATAAGTGACACCTACCATGTTTTTGTCCTTCTTATTTCCCTCAGATTTTGCTCAGAAAATGAAAGTAAACCAATAAAAGATCACAAATTTCTCCAACGGATATGGTTTTGGAGTATATATAAGAAGAAGACAGTGTGACTACCATTCTTCAAATATTGACCAATAAATACTTGGTCGTAGGCCACGTGTTTATCACTTGATCCCCACCTCAGACCCTGGACCGTAGCACAGACAAGGACTTATTGTATTTCAGTATTAACAGCTAGTTATGAAACGTCACTGTGAGATGTTTGCCTTTTAAGTAAGTTATATGTGCTTTGTGCAAGGGTGGGGATAATGGATTATCAAAACGACAACCACACACGTGGTTAATGAACTTTTTTTGCCAAAACTATGTGCGAACTTGTCATATATGCTTTTTAAACATTCTAGAATATATAGATTAAAAAAAAAATAAAACCTTCTAGAATAAAATCAGACAAGAAGTTCTTTTACCACAAGATCATAGGGACCACCCGCTGCTAAGGGTAAACATGGCATAAGCTAACCTAGCTAAGCTTGACATTATATACCAATAAAAAATACTGAATCAATCACTTGGAGTAATAATTTTACTTGTGGTGTTACTAAGGAGTGCTCGAGCCTCAGCGCTCGTGTCTCATTACCCTTAATATGCATCGGGTGGATCCTAATATTTTTAGGAATTTGTTGACGGGTACGAGCGCCTCTGTGGAGGCTCTTGGGCACCCTTAACAAATTAGGTGACGAAATTTGTTTGTTTGTTTTTAATTTTTTGGTTGGACATAAGTATTAAAACAAGAATGTTAGGATAAGAAATTTAATGGTATAATAAAAGGTAAAATCATTTCTCCAATCGCTTGACATCCAACAATGACATGTGTATGGTTATGATTTTTCACATTCAATACTTTCATCTTTTGTATAGTCATGATTCTCCATATTTAATGTTGTTACTTATATATATGGTAAATAATTGACTGCTGGACTTCAAGTGGCCGGAAAAATATAAACCCCGTAATAAAAAGTTATTATTATGTTGTATGCAAATAAGTAATTTAGCAAAAAAAAAAAATTAAGAGACGAGGAAGGGGTAAAAATAAGCTACCTAGAACAGGTGATCTCTTACAAACAGGGACAAAGACAAAGGGGGTCCTAGGCACTGTGAGGAAATTAAATACGTTGCATGAAAATAATACGTGGGATCCTCTGGGTTCGTGAAAATATTTTGTGTTTATTTTTAAGTTTTATTAATAATTATAAAAATATTATTTTATTTTATTGAAAAGTTGCAGGAAAATTAGTTAAAAGAACGCATATATAAATTATCTTCTTAATTCTTTTCTCCATAGGAGACCAAAAAGAAATATTGTATAAAAAGAAAAATCTCCTCGCACCGACATTATTTTATCTCCTCCACTCCATTAAGCAAAAGGATAATGTCGTCTGACAATAACAGCCATTATTATGTGCCCTTCCCATTTAAATGATGTAGCTTAGAAGCTTACCACAACTCCACAAGATATATGGTATATAATTATGTGGAACATGAATCACTGTTTTCTCTGCTACTGTATTTCTTCCTTAGCTACCACTAATTAAGATTGCCAGCCGAATGATAACATATACTAATATATTTATCACAATATTTTTGGGATAATTAAAATGTAAAGAGAGATAAAACTATCTCTATGCTTATCTTCTTTTTTCCTGTGCCTAGAAAATGATTCTTCACTTAAATTATTAGGCTGAGAATAAATTATCACTATACAATTCTATTTTGGAAGATTTTTTTTCCTGCGAATTAAATCATATCTTAGTGGGTGTTCTTTGACTTCTTTCATGTAATTCATGAGGTTTTCTTAGACAAGTGGAAGAGGGAATGCACCAAAAGAAAGGGAATCCAGCTGGGATGGATAAGTATTTTGAAAACCATTCACACTTTTTCAATTATTTGATAGGGGATTTGGTTGCACCCATTTGATTCAACCCCACCGCGCAACTTGCAAAATTTATCAGCTGACTCAGATTCTGGTTAACACGTCATCCTCTTGCAAGACACGTGTTCTCCAAGTTACCCAACACCCCCTTATTTTATTTTTTACCTTTTTAATTTTATTACTCACTCAAACACCCATGGTTAACACGTCATCCTCTTGCAAGACACGTGTTCGCCAAGTTACCCAACACCCCCCTTATTTTATTTTTTAGCTTTTAAATCTTATTACTCTCTCAAACACCCATGGAAAAGGTAAAATATAAAGTGCAAAAGATAGCAGATTATAACATGGGCTAACTTGGTAATTAATTAAGAAAAAGCAGCACGAGAGACAGAGAGAGAGAGAGTCAGAAACAGCTAGCACAAGTGATCACAGGTAGAGAAAGGAACAGTATAATGCGGTGACTTACCAGGAACTCAATAACTGCACTTATCAGGTAGACGTAATAAGTGGTGAAAAAGGCATCGGATAAGAAACCACCGAGGAGGGCAAGGAGGAAGGCCGTTCCCATGAAATTGGTGACAGAGTTAGCAGATTTCGAAGGTGACATATGCATGTACTCCGTCAGATACAAAACCAAGTTGCTCGCATTGGCCAAATACGCCAGATTCTCCAATATCTCCACCACTGCAAATCACACAAACATAAACAACCTCGGAATCAGTGCTGAATACGTACTCACGTTTTTTGTTTTTCGCATGAGCAAAGCCCTTCCGCTAAAACAGCTTATTATATATTTTTTTCTTCTTTTTATTATTAACTAATAATGATTATGATCAAATAACATAATTATATCATCATTTTTTCAGATCAGAAGATCCAAATCCAAAATCAAGTCCCAATTAAAAAACCCCCAACAGATATATATGCGAGAAAAAATGATTAATTTTTTTTTTTTTGAGTGAAAAGAGAGAAATTTGGGACATACCCAAAACGAAGGAGGCTGCAAGCATGCCTCCATGGCGGGCTCTGAGAGCAGGCCTTTTCCTCCAGTCCTCATAGCCTTCCCATCTGGTCACTTGGTGTGCTTCCAATTCCTGAAGAATTTATTAGACAGTGTATATATTATTATTAGCACAATTATTAATAATAAACTTGAGAGAGTAAAAGGGAGAAGAGAGAGGGAAACCCAACCCAACCCACCATGTTTACTTGCTTTGGATCTGAGAAGGGTTAGGGGGGAAAAGTGCTAGGAGTGGTGAGAGATTTAAAGAGTTGGGAACAAGAGAGGAGGAGGAGGGGTAGCAAGGAAAGGTACAACTTGGGCAGAATGGTCATCCCAATCCCAAACACCATTAGCAATGGTCATTGACTTTAATCTTTCCTTTCACACTCATTCATATTATATTCGGTAAACGGATAGATATTTTCCCTTATAAAAAACCTTCCAAATAGGTGGGGAAGCTTAGTTATTAATGTATGGAAAAATGTGTATTATTTTAAATAATGTAAAGTTGTATCATTTTAAATAAGAGAAAGAAATAGATAATGAAGGAGCACTACTAGAAAAAACTTGTACAGTGACGGAATTGTTATGGAAATTTCGTCGCTAATTTCATCCTCGCTATTACTTTTCGTCACATATTCCCTCGCAAATTATTTTGCGAGGGAATTTGTGACGGAAAGTAGTAAAGACGATGAAATTAGCGACGGAATTTCTATAACAATTCTGTCACTATACAAGTTTTTTCTAGTAGTGGAGAGAGAGAGTGAACAAAAAAATATAAAGGTGTGGGTCGACCCATCTCTTTGTTGTGAGAGTGAAATGATATAAATTGTGTCATTTAAAATGACAAATACTTTTTCTGTATGTATAGCTATTTTTCATATTTAATTAAAGTTTAAATAAATTCTTTGTAAACGATGGCTATTAATTAATGTTTATGATCTTTTGCAAGTTTTTTATATTGGTGAAGATTTATTCATAAATTTTTTTTTACAGATTTTTACAAATTATACTATGTATTCTTGAAAGTGTATAGTATAACATAGTGTACTTTCAAAAATATATAATATAATTTGTAAATAAAAAAATTATAAATATAACTCTCCCATAATTATATATTACTATTATATGCTTCAGGAGCTTCACGATAACAATCTTTATTTAGTAAAACCTCCTTAAAAATTAATTATAAATACTTATTTATTAGATTTTTGAAGTATAATTTTTTTTTATATATTATGAGGTCTTATTCAAAAGTATAATAAAACAATAAAAACTTTTATGAAATAATTTAACCATTAATACATCAATTGCCTTAAGTTCCAATAATTCAAACCCACCATTTTATGTGATTGAAAACATAAATTAAATAATTCAGTGGTTGGAGACTTTTGTAATATCAAAAGTTTGTTTTAGCAGAAAAATATTTAACTAGATACAACTTTTTTTTTTGTTCGTTGAAAGATACAACTTAAGGACCCTGGGAAGAGTTTGTTTCATACTTAAAGATGTGAAGAAATTTTGTAAAATACAAAAGTAGCAATATATTAAAAAATTTAAATAATAAAAACTAGTGAAATTATAATTATTATTGTTATTGATGTCATCTAATTTTGTGGCAAATAGTTCTACATAAGAATATAATTTTTATTCTATTCCAAATTTCACATTAACATTTTCTCACATTTATTATTATAATCATTTAATATTATCATCTTATGCTTCATGTAACTATAGGGTTGAAACTAGCTAATGAGCTTCTTCACGTGTAAGATATAAGATATTTCAATTGGGAGAGCCGTCCTTACATGCATCCCTTGAATACAAAATTGGAGTGATAACAACATAATAAAGCCGGTAGGCCTCCTCAACAGCCAATGACGAAAAGACAAGCAGAAGGTTCCAACTAGACTTACATAACATAACTTATAAATAGGCATCCCACAAACGGAATAAGCTGCAAAAACCACTTAAACCCACCATACTAAGGGCCCGTTTGTATCCACTTTTTTAAAAAGTCATTTTTATCACTTCCTTATTTTAAAAGTACTTTTTATAAAAGCTACAACTATTTAGATTTTTAGAAAAATATTTGATTTTTGAAAAAAATATTTGACTTTTGACTTTTACTTTTTTGAGAAGCTAGAATTTTTAGCTTTCAAAAAAAGTAAGTTTTTGACTTTTTTTCCGACTTCTGCTTTTTTTAAAAGCAGGCATACAAACCGACTTTTTTCGAGAAGTGCTTTTTTTCTCTTAAAAAAAGCAGCTTTTGAAGAAAAAAAGCTCATCCAAACAGGCTCTAAGTCACAAGTAAGTCATGTCATTGTTATATAAAGAAGGTTCAAAGCTCGCGTATGATCATATTCTTCATTATTACTTAAACTTGTTAGTTAAACATTGATTTGAGTGTCAAAATGCATTATAGGTACCTCCCTCGTCTGTCTCAGTCAAGCAAAGATTTCCAACATCAACACAATCATCCCAAGAAGCCATCCCGTGACATCTCTCGTCAGATTTCGTTGCAAACTCACTTCAAACTTTAATTGGATCAAATTTAACTATGTGTGTTCAGGTCCAATATTTCTTAGATTGATTAACAACGTAACTATATGTTTTGAGGTTGAGTTCATTTAGTGATATTAGGAAAACTAGCTAAATATATCGAAGCATATATTTAAGAGCTAAAATTTCTAAAGCTTAAGTGAAAGTTATCAATGCACTACTATGCTTAACAGAGTTATATATACATGGTTTGTAAGCCTTATTTTGTAGTTGTCTGTATTTAGAAAGAATTTTGCGTAATTTCTAAGAAAGAAAAAACAGGGACCAATATTCCATATTGAAGTTACACTCCTATTAGTACTTGCAAATAGAAAAATAATGATAAATAATCATTTTATCAAATTTTATATTATATTTCTCTAACACACTCGTTTATATAAGAATTCATTGTGCTTAAAGCATAGATATTGCACATGGTCTTTTTTTTTGTTCTACATTATGCTGACTTAATTTTACTTAAAAGTTATGGTGATAAGAATCGAACTCGTGACCTTGTGATCACCTTGGCTCAGATACCATAACAAACAAACATCTCAGCCCAACATCTCAAGCTAGTAAGTAATAGACCTTCAATGATTTTTATATTATATATTTCTAACACATTGCCTCATACAAGAACCTTTTAGACTTGAAGTGTGGATATTGCATAGGCTTATTTTTTTTTGTTCTATCTTGTGTTGACTTAATTTTACTAGAAAATGAGGATGGTGAGGATTAAACTCATGACCCCATGGTTATCTTGGCTCTGATACCATGTTTAATAATCATCTCACTCAAGAGCCCCATAAATTTTATATTATATCTCTCTAACATATACCTTGCCAAATTAAAAAGTTTAAAATTTTATTCCTGTTTTAGACTATTATTACATAATTAATTAGGAAATTTAACTCTAGTCTAAGGTTTTCCTTAATTTGATTTTGATTATAAATATTTTCATAATTGAAAGAAATTATTCTTCCTTTACATGCAATTTACAAGTAAGTGCCAAAAACCAAAGAAGGGCAAGATTGAAACATATGATGCACTAGTATATGTTATTCAAGCCTCTTAGTGATATAAAATTACCCACTGTAAGGATGGTCCCTTCGAGGAATTCTGTATAGAGTCTGGTATTATACACCAGACAACAGCTCCTTATTCACCGCAATCAAATGGGATTGCAGAAAGAAAAAATCGGACATTGAAAGAGATGTTCAATGCTATGTTAATTACGTCCGGTTTACCACAGAATTTGTGGGGGGAAGCCATTTTGACGGCTAATTATATTATTAATAGAATGCATCACAAAAGGACTAATAACATACCATATGACATATGGAAAGGAAAGAAGCCATCCCTGAAATACTTTAGAGTGTGGGGGTGCTTGGCTAAGGTTGCGGTTCCTAAACCCAAAAGGTTGAAAATCGGACCTAAAACCGTGGATTGTGTATTCATCGATTATGCACTTAATAGTAGTGCTTATCGGTTTCTAGTTTGTAAATCTGATGTCTCAGATATACATGTTAATACGGTTATTGAGTCAAGGGAAGTTACTTTCTTTGAAGACGTATTTCCGTAGAAGAAAATACATGAATCAAGTGGTAATAATGATGATCAGGTTGTGATACCTCGGGATGCTACAACTAATACTGATCTTGTACAGGATGTAGAAGATGAACCTAGACGTAGCAAGAGGCAAAGGACCGCCACATCCTTTGGACCTGATTTTATGACAATTGTTATTGAAGACAGTGGGTGATTTTATATCACTAAGAGGCTTGAACCCATGTATAAACCAGAAGAGAGTAATTGATCAGAATTATCACTGTGCAATTATAAATATTTAAAAAATAGACTTACTTGTCGTCAGTATAAAGAATCAGAACAGATGAATGTATGCAGTAGAGGAATTAAATCCGAGCCCGCAGAACATGTCTCCTTAAGACAATTTGCCCCCTCACTGATGCCCAAGGTTGATGGACACTTGTCTCCCAGGATAGAACGGATTTCGTCTGAAGAATGGTGGCACTACCAATCAACAGCCCAAACGAACACAACTGAATGCCAGAGGAAATCACACAGGAGTACAAAAAAGGAATATGCAAAACCGAAAGGAGAAAATTTCCGGCAGAGTTTTGGTGGAGAAAAATTGGATAAATTTCTGAAGGTGTCAGTGTCTATTTATAGACACTGACCGGTCATGATGAACAGTCGCCGGCGACGAATCACCGTGTCTGACGACGGCGAACGGGTGCGACCGGTGACCATTCCGACGAACAGGTACAACCGGTGACCGGTTCGGGGAGCAGACACAACCGATGACCAGTTCACGAAAGGGAACAACCGGTTCGGTTCAAAATTGCTCAAAAAACCGGCAGGTAGAAACGTTTGGGTTCAAAATTTGGAGGGAAGCAACGGATAAATTTCACGAAAGGGAAGAACCGGTTCGGTTCAAAATTGCTCAAAAAACTGGCGGGTAGAAACGTTTGGAGGGAAGCAACGGATAAATTTAATAAAAAATTATTTTTATTACACACATATGAACCGAACCGGGCGGCGGCGCGCGCGCGTGTGGTGGACCAAAGCCCACCTAGCTCCTCCCCCTCCACAAAATGTGTAGTGACCCAAAGGGCCAATCTAGGAGAGTGAGGTGGGAGCTTATAAACTCTCTCACTTCCTACTATTTGTCCAATGTGGGACTTTGTTAAAAACCCACACACCTCTTCAACTTCCCTCTTCTCTTTCCTTTATTAACCCACTTCTTATTCATAACCAATAGATCATTGT